GCCAGCCGGGCTGGGACACAGCCCGGGGCAGTGGTGCCGCATCCTCGGAGATAAGCGCATCCCGAGGGGCCTGTGGGGAGCAGCTCTGCCTGGCCTTGCCCTCCTTCAGAGCCGTTTTTGACCCCCTTCTCTCCCGGCCAGCACGGAGCAGCGCCGCCCAAACTGGCACGGCTCTGTTACATGTCACCCCCTTCTGTCACCCTGCCCAAGAGCAGCAGCTATTGCTAGAAGCACGCTGACCACTAAGTGCTGCCTGCTGTCCTCGGCAGCGGCGCCGGGGCCTCTGCCAGCCACAGCCGAATGCTTCTTGCGTGAGCACGTGCTCGCGGTTGTATTTTGTTCTCCCTGACAGCCTGCGAGGCCCCAGGCCAGCCCTGCCTGCCCCAGGGCCCAGGCAGGGGACGGTCCCAGGGCTGTGGAGTGGGTCGGAGGTGCTGCTGGTGCCGGGACTGACCTGCCAGAACCACTGGATCTGTTTGCTGTTCTTGGTGTAGTGCCGGTAGATGGTGTTCTTCTGCCAGTCGTTCATGTCGATCTCCTGCATGCCACACAGCATCAGCTGGGGACAGGGGACAGTCAGCAGGGGGACAGAAAGAGGGCCCTGTGCCCGGGTTTCGGAGCACTGACTCGGTGTGCCAGGCTTCACAAGGCACAGGCTCCAGCACCGGGCAGCTGAGGTGTCTGGGAGGAATTCCTGTCCCCCAGCAAGATGTTTTCTTGCTGAATGGACCCAACAAGCTGCCCCACAGACCCAACCACATGGGGCAGCGGTACCCCTGTCAGCAGGGCCGGGGGCAGAGGGGGTGAGCGGAGCCTGTGCACTCCATCGTCACTGCGTGCCATTCCTGGGGCAGCCTGCGGCAGGGTGGGAAGCACCAGTACCTCCGCATCCCCATCCCAGCATGAGCGCCAGCTCACCTCCAGCTCCTTCTCGTCGAAGTACCGCAGCCACTCCAGCGGCACCACCTCGTTGAAGCCGTCCAGGAAAGCCTTGGTCTGCTCCTCCACGCCCCGCGTGAACCTCCAGTCTGTCAGCAGCCTGGGGAGGCAGACAGCAGTCGGCAGGCAGCCAGCGCCGCTGGCCGGGCACGGGAACCCCCACCATCCCTCCCGCCGGTGGGGAGGGCCCTGGGAGCCACAGGGGTGCATGGGAGGGGGAGAGGGGCTCCTGAAAATCACCGGGGCTCCCCTCAGTTCCCACTAGTGGGTTTCTCTCTCTGCCTCCAAACCCGTGAGCAGCAGACAGCCCTGAGCACAGGCCAGCAGCCTTCGGGAGGGGCGCAAACCATCTCCCCTGGCCAGAGCTGACCGTCAGCAGGAGACGGCCCTGGCAGCCCCCAGGCAGCCCAGCAGCGGACAGGCAGGGGGGGCAGCCACAGGACAGGGAGAGAAGTCTCACCCTCTCTCCCCTCTCCTCTTTCCTGAAAGTACTGGCAACTGCCCAGCCAGCAGCAAGCCAGACCGCAGCGGAGCTCGGCCGACTGCGCCAGCCCATACTTGTCACAGGCCACGTAGCCCAGGGAAGCGGCCACGTCCCAAACCCGATGCTCCCACCCCAGAACTGCCCTGCAGCTGGCAGGGGTAGGCACCCGGTGGGGGCCTCGGGACGGCCACTCACATGATATACTCCTCCTTGTTCTCCTCCGTCACTCGGATGCTCTCACCGCCCTCCTTCAGCTCATGGGTGGTCACCTTGCCCAGGATCTCCATGTCCTGGATGAAGTACAGCTCCAGGCCGCATTCCTCCAGGCTGTTCTCCCTGCGGGAGGACACCAGGATGTAATTTGGGACAGAGGGACAGGGCAGCAGCGAGGGGCCGTGGGGAGGAGCACTGCCTCCTCTGCAGCAGGACAGGTCCCTGGCCAGGAGGGAGCATGGGGCACTCACTTGGTCCAGACGATGGAGTTGTAAAACTCGGGGTCGATGGATTCCAGGTCCTTCAGCGTGGGCCGCTTGTTCAGCATCCGCTTGTAGAAGGGCAGCGTGAAGCCAGTATCGATGAACTTCCCGTGGTACAGAGCCTGCAGCGGGGAGGTGACGCCAGGTCATGAGGGACCCCAGGACAGACCCACGGGGCGAGACAGTGGAGCGCAGCACCGGGGCAGCCGTGGGGCGAGAGGGAATCGGTCCCAGGGTCCCAGAGCTGCAGCACCCACCCCTGGCTGGCAAAGGTGGTGGGGAGGAGCGGGGTCCCCCCAGCAGCGCTGCCCGGGGGCAGCTCGCCCGGTGCGGGGGGGGGTTTAGCCCCTCTCCCCCCCCCACTGCAAATTCCACCGTGTCTCCTTCTCCCCTCACAGCTCTATTAAGAGCACTTGTTTAAACAGAGCTGTGCTGCGGCTTCCCTGAATCCCTGGCTTCCAGGAGCCCCAAGGCAAAGGCAGCCAAAAATAATGCAGACGCTCGTCTAGAACGGCCCAGCGGTGAGTAATAGTCTGGGGTTTTATTGGTATCCTGCAACGCGCAGGGCAGGGCAGGACAGCGGGGACCTGAGCAGCACGCGGCCACCGCCCGCACACACCTCAGGGGGGGCCACGGGCCAGGGACCCTTCCCCAAGCTCGGGGAGCCCCTGGCAGCCCCCCTGCCAGCCCAGGGCTGGGCAAGGGGGGAGCCGCTCTGGGGCTCGGGCAGCTGGAAAATCTCACACTGCTTGGGCTAAAAATAGTTGCCAAAGCTGCAGACCCGACAGCACCTGGGGTGGCAGCCAAAGACCTGGAGCCATCCCCACCACACAGCCCCTGGGAAACCAGGTCCTCTCTGGCCCCACAGCCATTCCCCAAATTTAAAACGCATCACCCTGCAGCACCCCCCCCAAGGGTTCATCTCCCACGGACCCACACCTGAGCGAGACAGGGCTTAACAAGGGTGACGGTGCCAAGCCGAGCACAGCCGCGGCACGGGGAGCTGCTCCTCGCCCTGCTGACCCCCCCAATCCCTGGCAAGGCCCCAGCTCCACGGGGGGAACACAAACAAAGGGTTTGTCTGCCTCGGCCGCCCCGGCCCCTCTGGCCCCGTCACCGCCCTCCTTTATGTACAGCTACGCACACCAACACTCGCATGGGTCCCTCTCCCGGTGCACGCTGGGGGGGGGCGCAGCAGCGGAGGTGGCACCCAGGCGAGGGGTAAGGCCTGATCCTGCCCTCGCCCGCAGCTCCGGGAGCTCCTGCCACCAGCCCAGCCGGCAACAGAGGAGACACAGGGAGTTTGGACTCAACCCACGAACCAAGCAAAGGCCAGATGTGCCCCAAACGTGAGCGGAGCCCCCGAGGCTGCAGCGGAGCACCAGCTCCAAGCAACACCCCGCTTCACTATTAAATACAACAGCACAGGGGCCCCAGACTCGCAAATCTAAACACGCAACGGACAGGGTGGGCCAGGCCCTGGGTCCAGGCAGCCGCGGGCTCGGCGC